GAAATACCTACAGAAGCGACTCACTGACACAATCATCCTACTCACCATCCAACACAGGTTGAAACACGCCAATGTACCTGTCTCAGTTTTATATAAGACAAAAATTAGAACGTTGTTCAGACTAATTTTACTTAACTACAATAGAATAAACTTACAAGGGCATAGATTCTAGATCTACTTCAAGTAAACAATAATTAATGTTTTCATTGATTATGTTTACTTGAAGTTAAATACAATTTTATTTATGTTTTTTGGAGATTAATTTTATTTTTCAAATAGCATCTTCTGTCTAGAAACGTCACCGAAACAAATTTTTAAAACTTTTAGTTTTATTCTAAAATCCTTTACTTTTAGTAGTTGGTTGAAGAGCATTTTTGGGAAACCTTAAACTTAAAGTATATTTTCAAGACACGCTTCTTACATTTCTCTTCTGATGAATTGAATGTTCATGTTATAGGCAGATGGCTCAAAAACCCAGAGCTTCGGCGGGGTGAATAAAAATAACATACACATTTGAGAACCGTCTTTCAATTTAGCAAGGGCAGACAACTGTTTAATCACCTGTTGGACTTCCCCCTGGGGCCACAGGTCTGTTTTCTTTGATGCCTTCGATAAGAACATGCGGATGGCGACTAGTTCCGACATCGCTGGCGCTAATCGTCAGGACGGTTGGTGGAAATATTTCCGTGAAATCGTCTCCCACCTCTGCTGGGTATCTTTGTGAATGGTCGGATCAAATTATGCTGGCAATACATTTAACTATAATTATTTTTTCTGGATTATTGGTTCGATTACTTTCTAGACACCGTGATCCGTTTGAAATATACAGGTCACACAGGGTCAAAAATACATCGCTGGTTGGGGTGGGGGGGGGGGGGGGGTGAAGAGTGAGAGAGATGTGTGATGTTCCCGAAAACATCCAGAAATCACGGATGTCATGGATATAGTGTACCGTGAGGTCAGAGTTTCTTTCTCCTCTTTGACAACATGGAAACACACATTTTAGATAGAAAATAATTATATACTTTAGCCATTTTCCGCCCTCCCGGAATTTTAGCACCCCCTCCCCGCTACGAAAACTACTTAGGTATACATCTCAGTAGTGGACGGCGTGGACAGTTAACCCAAAAGTCTCGAGTTCGGATCCCTTGATCGATTGATTAGGACTCCCTCTTTCCACCCGGCTCTGATGGTAACACCCTAATTCACACGAGGGATAGTTAAGACGACAGTACATAGAACAGACCACCCATACCTACCATTTCAATGAAATGAAATTTTCATATGCCTAGGTCTCACACCAAAAAAAAAACAACATGTGAACTCTACTATATGTGCCCTATTTACCAGGAAGGGTGTCGTTCGTTTTTTTTAAACTTCTCAGTTGTGTGTAGATCAGTTTCCAAAAATAGCTTTATTCAAAGCATGTCGTGTTTTACACCGTGCTTAAAGGTACCGATATGTCTTTTAAAAAATCTCAATACCATCGGTCTGTTAAATCTTACTCAAAACAGTTTCGCTACTAAGTAGGGTGGAACTATTACGGAGGGAAAACTCAAAACATAAGTTTTTACCTATGATTTTGTTCAGTGGTGTGTGAAATTGTGAATCAGTAGCGTAGCCAGAGAGGTGCAGTCGGTACGAGTTACTCTGGGCATTAGGAGAAAATGATGTTTCACAATTTTTTTAGTGCGCGCTATACTAAAACTAATAATAATCTCTGTTGTCTATTGAAAACCCTTGTAATTTATTTTATTATAAAAAATGTGAATACTTTTTGCCTACTTACTACCTAAGTTATTAAATAGAAATTGTATATTTTTGTGTTGATTAACATAGGCTTATATCACTAAAATACCAATATCTTACCATGCTCTGACAAATCTCAATGTTTTTTCTACATAGTGACAACATATTAGGCTAGTTTAATGTTTTGTATTGATAGTGGGTGTGTGTGTGTGTGGATGGGGGGGGGGGGGGGGAGGGGATGGCTCGCCAAGCAACAAGTACGATAGCTCCGCCACTGGTATGAAACATTCTCGACATTATTGACAGTGTCGTATTTACACACCAGATATCATTGCTGGTAAGAATCTTGTGATGTTCCAGAAAATATATAATCAAGGCTTATATTTTAATTAGGCCACATTAGTGGTTAGTTAATTCATTACAAAGAAATTTACTAGCCTCAGCCCATTAAAAGACAAAGAACCCCGTTTGATTAGATTTGGCGTGAGGAGTGGGGGTTGGGTTGGTAAATCTGCTTATCTTTTAATCAGCCGTGCTCTTTAAGCCATGTCTAATCGACACATTCCTTTTATTTTGCACTAACTTTATTTACCCTTCATTTTTGCACTAACTCACCCAGACCCCCCCCCCCCCCTCCACTTTTCTCCTAACCATTAATTGATCCGCCCCTGAAAGTCAAGTCTATTGATTCATCAGATTTGCTTCTCTCACGTCATTTTGTAACCATCCTTTTCGTTCATTCATACCGTGGTATACACATTTATCGGAAGCAACATCTCCTATTGGCATTTAGCTAACGACCCATTGGGCGCAGGGGAGTGGGGGATAGTTTAGTGTTGTGCACGCAGAAGACAGACATATGCAAATGGGCGGTGTCACTGGTTTATGAAACAGGCTATTGCAAACATGTTCTTATACTTTAGATTATAGTGGGGATGGTTCATTTAGTTATGGCTTGTGACTTTTATGATTTAAAACTATACATGTTTACTTACATAGGGTGCCTCTCCTCATCTTCACCTCTCTCTCTTTCTCTCTCTCTCTCTCTCTCTCTCTCTCTCTCTCTCTCTCTCTCTCTCTCTATATATATATATATATATATATATATATATATATATATATATATATATATATATATATATATGTCTATATCAAAACAGTTTCTTAAAAATTGGTTTAGTTGTGGTGGATGTTGGCTTTGAATAGGGTCTACCTAAAAATTAGACTCTATCAAAGTACTCAGTTATCAACACTGGGAGCGATTAGCCCATAGATGATGATTGGCGTATTTTATTTCATTTCCCGTCAAACGTTGTCATAAACTATATATATATATATATATATATATATATATATATATATATATATATATATATATATATATATATACCCTTTCCCTTTCCTTAAAATAAATACAATTCTATTTCAAAATGACACAATAAAGCCCATTGAAAAATAATACCAAAGTTACAACAAAATCAACTAACCCGAGAATTTTGAGTTCGGATCTTGTGCTTAAGTCGTTAGATCTGCCCAGCCCTAATGGGTTCCTGACTTACATTAAGGAACGCAAAGGCTGCTGGGCATAGTGATGAACACCCCCCACCCCTTCCCCCAAACAGCCACATATAGAGGCCTCAGAAACTGGCGAACTCCACTTCACCTGCACCAAAATATTAAGAAATGATTCTACTAAAGAGAGCAAAGTTGTTTTATTTTCCTATTTCCAATGCATTTAAAAACTTCTAATTTTTAAATAGTTTTTTAAATAGAGGTATTATTTTCTACCATTTAGTAATTCCGAATTTTAAAAATTTAAAATAGTAAGTCGATAAATAATAAATACGTGTTTAAAATATCTAATCTACTACTTTAAGATGAAAAACATTTGCTTTAAAACCTGTTCATTTTCTGGCAATAATAACCCTAAACGACAATTTTATGTCCTTATTGACGTCTGTTGCGACTTAAACACGTGAAAACAGTTCACAACAGTTTATCTCACTGATCAAGCAATTACTAGTCTAACTAATTAGCTTAAAATAATATATTTTTGCGTTGTCTTCGGAGACGAATTATCTGAAACGTTAGTATGAATCACTGCATTCGAAGTTGGTCACAAATGAGTTAATGATTTCATTCTATTAAAAGGTCAACCAACACTATCAATGTACTAACATTGTGAACCAAATAAAAACACGTGAGAAGTTGAAGGAAAGGTGCCTATACAATCTACTTCGAAAAACAAGTGTTCTCTGAAAAAGTAATCCACAAAAATCAACCAACCAGAAAAAAAATAATTTATTTCTTGATTTGTATAATCTTTTCCCTCTCTCGATCTATTAAAATAGTCGTTAAAGGATGATCCATAAACCTAGTTATAGTTAATTATATAGATCTAATATGTGAGTTTAACAATCATTTAATTTCTGTTAGTTTTTCGTCTAATCAATGTAGGAACAAACGTGATAAAGACTCGGTAAGAGTTAGAGATGCATTTGCAATTGCATTCTAAGTAAATTTTTCCGAATTTTCCAGTAAAATAATAATGGAATCAGTTTAAAAATAAATGTGTCGTATAATAAAAACTATCACTAGAAATTTGTACGCAGCTGACTGGTATGGGAACTGCTCGTAAATTAATTATTACATTTGCAATTTATTATTTTTGTTTTAGAAAGGGGGCGTCGGCTAAGAAACGAAACGAAACTGTCATTTTGAAAAGGTGCTCAATCAACAAGTTTGTCAACATAGTATTTTAAGAACCCTCATTGGTTAAATTACACGAGTATTGATACTGTATCGCGTTTCCATATAAGGGTATTGACAACAAACGCACTTTCTTCGGTAGGCCTACTGTATCTAGGAAATATTTGATATTCAAATAACTACAAACGTTCATTGTGCATTTTAGACAAGTTAAATGTATTTCTCCTATTACACTATATTTATTCACTTGAAGCACAATAGACCTATGTATAATAATAAATACTTAATAAAAACTGATACGACACAATGTTTATTTCGGATGAATTCTCCACATAATCTTACATTTCTTAATGCGCAATAAGCTATAGTTCTAAAAACTATTCGCAGATTATTAATATATCTTGAAAGTTTTCAATTTTTAAATAAAAATTAGCTTAAAGTAAAAAGCATTTCTTCTGTTTATGGTCAATATTTAAGGCTGATTTATATTTTATCGAATGTAAACCTATCGCGTAATGGCATTTCTCTTGGGAACTACTTTTAAAAATGGCCACCCTGGCAAACCTTCATGTTATGACGTGCCTCTGCAAATAGCAGACTTTTTCTGCACTGACCTTGGATATTACTTTAGTTTTAAGTCTACAACATTTAAGGAACTTTTCGAAATTGTATTAATTTTACGAGCATTAAGTTAAATGCTAGTATAGTGCGTTACCGTGTCCTTTCAATACCAAGAACAGCAAAGTAAATAGATCTCTCTAATTTTTGCAAGCAATAGTAAGCTGCATAGCAGTCAGTGTTGTCATAAGTGTTTGTCAGCTGGATTGTCATATCTTCTACAAAATTTATTTGGATGGGGGGTTTCCCCTATAATTCGAAGTGGTGCCTCTTGGAAGTGCATTTATGAAAGAAATGAATACCAACGAGGTGACCTCTGGCTATCTAGCCACTACAAATTGTGATTTTAACAATGGTAATAATAAAATTAAAATAAAATATTTAGCCTAGTAGTTTGCCTAGCTAGTGTACTAATTTAATTTAAGAGCCTACATTTTTATTTTAGTGTGATTTAATATTTTGAAATGTAAGATCATTTTACTAATTTCAAACTAATTTGTCTAGAAATAAACCTTCCCTAATTAACTATCTATAGCCTAGGGGCCTAACAACTAGATTCTAGGTAGCCTAACCTAACAGTAACACTTTAAAAAAAAATAGGCCTCTTTAAAATCTTTTCTAGTAGAAGCCTACACAGTCAGTTAGTACATTCATTTACATAGGCCTACAATCTACAGGCCTACAAAACATATAGGGCCTACATTATACACATAGTGAGATAGGCCTATATAGATCTAAATAAAATCTGATGGCCTGCTACGTTATTATTCATGTGTCCATTGCAATTTTCAGTAGTTTGTTTTTACTCTCTCTTAGCATTTCTCACAGAAATCTAGGGCACATAACATTTTTTATCTCTATATATTCGCAAGCAAGAGGAGATAAAATACAGTTGAAATTGTATAGGCCTAAAAAGAAGTAATTTCATATTTTCCTGAATAACAGCAAACAAAAGAGCAGTGATATTCAGTGATTATTTTATGGATATGAACCTGGGACATGTGGTGTGACAATCTTGCATTGCTTTACCATATTTTTACAATTTTAAATATCTTACTTAATGATAACAGTTCTTTTTGGGAATAGCCCAAATCTGGGGCGGGGGGGTGCGGACCGCATCGGGTGACACCATTTAGGGTGGTGACAACAAGGCAAAAAATAGCAAAATATATAGAGAAAAACTTGAGAGGGGGGGTGCAAATCGAAAGTTTGAGGGGGGGGGGGGTGGGGTGCAAATCGGAAATTTGAAAGTTTGTCCCCGGGAAAGGTCACTAGGCCACTGGCCCAAATATGCCTATTCTGAGTCTACTGTAAATAGACGCGTCGATAAATAAAACCGCATTTCTACAGCCTGCATGTTGTAAGATACTTTCTATACTTGTATGACACAATGGTAAAAGCTTTGTAGTCTACGAATGGCCTAATTTACTACTTGAAAGCTTTGTAGAAATAAGCCTCTTACTACAAACCCTCACTATTTACATTACTATTTCGAGCATGGGTTCTTTATATTATTGCTGTTATATCTAAGGAATTGGTAATGTCACTCTGGTAATGTTAACCATTATTACTTAAATTACTATGATTGCTGGCATTGCTATACATTTAGATCCTTTTTCATTTTGAGATAGGGTTGAATTTAAGATAGCTTTATGGGGCAGAAATAGCTTCAGTATGCCCTACCTACTAAGGCAGTCTTAGAAGAAATATTTTTGCACATTCATGATTCATTTACCCCACCTGTCTGAAACTCTAACATTGATGGAAATCATCATCCTTTCCCATGAAACATGGGGTAGATGAATTAAGAGGTTATCAGTTTCAATGACCTTGCCATGCAAGTGATAGTGTGGTCAGCACATTGTTTCCCTAATGTAAGTCAAGTACCTATTAGAGCTGTGTGGACCCAGGGACGTCGCAAGTCTGAACAGATCCGAGCTCAAGACCCTAGGGGTTGTAGCCAAATGCTCTACCATTTGACCAAGCTTTATGGTTGTATTTGATTAGTATATTGACTGTGAGTGTGGTTATTGATTTTGATGTTAATCACTTTGTGAAATCCATGAAATGCTTAGCCATTTCTAACTAGTGTACAATAATAAGGCTCTCTTGCTCTTACACTCTCACAGTGTGCTAATAGTAATACTTCCCAGTTATCATAATAAAAAATATAACAGCTCTTGTTTTTAGGTTAGTTTTAGGCCTAAAACTAGTGTTAGTGATATAATCTGGATTAGTTTTCTTGTTTATAAAATGCAATATCACACATCATTTTCTGTTTAGGGTAGAATTGCTTAAAAAAACAAATCTTATTTGTAAACCTTGAAGAGAGCCTTGTGTTTCATTCTCATTCAGTTTATGTTTTAAATTCTTCTTTCAATTTATTAAAAGCATTAACAAACTTGTATGCCTTAAGTTTATTGTAATAATAGAAATATGTTCATATTTTATTACAACTTAGGCTATCAATGTTTTTAAACATTTGGTTTGCCATTTATTGTGGTTTTTTTTATAATTAATCGAACACCCAGTGGTTTAAGCAAGATGACATTTATTATTTTGTAACAAAAATGATAGAGCTGGTTAATTCATAGCTGTTACATTTATAGGGAGAGTAGTTCTGAGTAATTGTAAGCAGTTGTCAGTTATGTTATTTGTAATTATATGTATACAATAGAGGATAATAGATATATTTAATTTATATATGGCCCATATTGACTCTAATATCTTTATGTACAGTAAAATCTTTAATTACAAGTATTTTTATGTTTCCTCTTTTATAACTAAGCAACCCTGTTAACAAAAAATATACTTTTTTGCTCAAGTTGGCTTAAATAACTACCTCCACTATGGTACTTCATTCCATGTAGATCTATATTATATTTTCTTACATACTTACATTAATATTACATCATGTACATTGAGTCATAATCATTGTGATTGAGTGTTTTGGTCACTTGATTACACTACAAATATGTCTTCATATATTCCCCATTTTGATATTATGTAAATGTTGAATTAGCCTAATTCGCCATATGAACATGCATGTTTTATATGTATTTGATAGTACACATGCTAACTGGCTATTTAACTTGGGATGAACATTTGGCTCCCTTGAAATTTGTAATTTAAAAACCCTTAATTATGATGGTTAGCGATTCTCTCCCGCCACCCACGAACTTCCCTTTTTTTTTTTTTACACCGAAAAAGTATACTTAAAACATAAAAAGAGTTAACTGAAGTATTGATGAAATAAAAAGTATCCTTCTTGAAAACAACCATTTGTGAAACTTGTTATGTAAGATAACTTATAGTTACTTAAGTGTGCAGGCAAATTTTAAAAAAGCAAAGTTGTGATTGTGTATAGTTTTAGTGTTAACACTCTTTCTACCACCATCTTTAGTATCTCCCAAATTGCTACATTTCATCATCAGATGATACATCTTAGTAGTTATTGCTACATTTAAAAAAATGTTTTTCTTGGACAAATATTCGTTTGACATTATTCTAAGTGGTTCCCAATTTTATTGTTACACTTAAAAATAAAACTAAAACAAAATCTACATTTACATTCAATTAAAATATAGCTGTCTTGCTTATGGATAATCACTATCTGTAAACAATAGAAGGCTGTTAAAACAATGGAATGTTCAGACAATAGATATAAAATAATTATTTAAGTGAGAAAATGGGTTAATTATAATTGAAACTTCAACCTCTTAGTAGCTTATTTTAAACATCAGCGTTTGCTGTCAGTGAAGTATTTTTCATTGCCCAATATGTTGACTGGTTTAATTTGATAGTTATTTTAAAGTTATACTTTTGTTAACATTTATGATATGGAATATTGATTACAGCAACACAGGTTGCTTTTAATAAGTTTTATATTTTATTATCAATCTGCTGTAGTCATATTTTTGTCGCTGTATATAGTTTTAGTAAATCATCATGTCTTCAGTTGTTTCATTGAATATTTTAAAAAAATATTTCCATATCAACTAAAAAATGTTTATGCGTCTCATTTTTTCTACTCGTAGTGTTTTTAAATAATTTCTAACTTGTTCATATCAAAATGATGTAATATTTCCATATCATGCACTATAGTTTTCTCAGAATCCATACAAAACAGAAGTATAAGTACTGATATCTGATAGAAAAACTAAAGGTCAGCATTTGATATCATTAATACAACTAAAAGCATCAATTGTGAGTGATCTGTAAGAGGCGCATCTATTATTTGGCAGCTGAACACAGCTGAGTGGGTAACTATGGTTCACTCAGTATTGGGACACTGGTGTCCCTCAGCAACATATGAAATCAATAAATTGACCAGCCTCCCCTTGCATGCTGCTGGCCTCTGTTGATGTAACAGCCACACATCAAAAGGCCACTCTCCCGCCTCTCCCCCTCTTTTCCTGTCCTACAAAACACTACAGATAAAGTCTTGTTGAGGTCTCTGGTGGCTCATGCATATTAATAGGATCAGTGGGCCTGATGTTACACATCTGGCCCTACACACTATTTTTAGTTTTTTGGCTTCCAGTCATGGAGTTAATGGAGTTTAGCCCTAGGGTAATTAAACATTTTTTAGTGTGTCCAGGAATTTTTAAAATGTGATTTTACACATGTTTTTAGCTACGGTTATAAATAGAAGGATGTGTGTTATTGACATGTTGATTATGTTTTGTTTTTTTTATTTTTAAATCTGAATTTTTTTTTCATTTTTGTGGAATCTGTTGTGATTTAACTGTTTACGACCATTATTTTTGTAGCATAGTTTTCTTAACACTCATGGAATGTATTCACAAATTTTAAATATCCTTTATTAGCTGATTGTCAATTAGCTTTATCTCAAACCTTCTTTTAAGAATTTTAATAGATTTTTTGGGAAATTTAACAAAATGTGTTTACATTTATCACCCTCACATCTGGTTCATAATATTGATTTGTGTGATCAATTTTGATCAAAAGCATAAAGAATAGAAATGAGAGTTGATACTAGTTAATGATTATCTTTTTTATTAATGAAAAAGATTACTTGATTTTTTATTTGTTTTTACTGGCCACTTATTGTTTTTTTTTTATATTTCTTACTATACTTATAGATACTATTTTAATTTAGGAGCATTCAATACTAAAGTTTGTTTTTATTTCTCTCCAGGATGAATTCCACCCTTTTATTGAGGCCCTCTTGCCTCATGTCAAGTCTTTCTCCTACACATGGTTTAACCTCCAAGCTTCCAAAAGAAAATACTTCAAGAAACATGAAAAACGAATGTCAATGGAAGAGGAGAGAAGGGTTAAAGAAGAATTACAGGTACACAATTTTGTTGTCATCATGCCACAATTACTAGATTGTTTATGGTCATTGTTTTTAATTACTTGCTGCATACTTATATGAAAATGAACATTCATTTTTTAAAATAGTTTAGAAAAGAACAGTATCAATTATGTGTTAATTATAAGTTGCAATTGTTTTTAGTGTTGGTAAAAATGCTAGCAGTTCATATAAGAGTTATGTTTTGCTAATCTAGCACATTACTCTGAGCCTAATATAATACTACTACACCATAAAATACAAATCCCATTATAAAACTATGCTAGCTTCCAATGTTTTATAATTAAATTTGTAAATGTCAGCAATGCACATAATTTTAGATTCTTTCATACATCAGCATAATTTGAAGTCACAGGTGTTAACATTATAGTAGTATTTGTTGTTTTTCCTCTGGAACATTGATTTCTTTAATGTTCTTCAGAATGAAAAGGCAGATGTAAAGCAAAAGTGGGCGTCACGACTTCTAGCAAAGCTGCGTAAAGACATCACACAAGAATGCAGGGAAGATTTTGTGCTCAGCATCACGAGAAAACGTTCACCTATCTGTGTTTTAAGCAACCCAGATCAAAAAGGAAAAATGCGACGCATAGATTGTTTGCGGCAGGCGGATAAAGTCTGGCGGCTTGATTTGGTCATGGTTATACTGTTCAAGGCTATTCCTTTGGAGTCAACGGATGGAGAAAGGCTGGAGAAGTCTCCGGATTGTTTACATCCTAACCTGTGCGTGAATCCACACCATATCAGTGTATCAGTGCGGGAGTTGGATCTTTATTTGGCCAATTTTATACACAGTTATGGTAAGTACACAGATCATTCACTTGTAGTTGTCGAAAAGTTAACATTGGGGGGGAAGGCATGGTTGAGTGGTGGGACATACAGCCGTCAACCAGTAAATGCTGAGCTTGAATCTATTGTGTGTTATTAATTCCAACTAGCTTTAAAGGCTACTTGACTACTGACTCCTAGTCTGGAAAAATAATGGTAATAGAGCTTATATCAGTCACACAAAAAAACTTTTTATTATAGTGAGATGATAACCAAGTTTCATAAACTTGTTTATATGCAATACTAAGACACACACACTGATCATTCCTTTTAGCTCAAAAGAAGTTCCCATTACAATTTTCTTAGGAAAGTCAGCACTCCATATTTCATGTCTACATATACCTTATGTCCACATAGACTTTCCCTTACGGTTTTGTTCAGGGTTTTTTTATTTCCGATTCAATACATTTTAAACCAACCAATGCTGTTATGCAAATCAAGTTGAAGCTTTAGCTACAGTGTCTATTGATTGCTTTGTAACTGCATTGAATGTGTTTTTTGTTAGGGGCTCTTTCAGTGAAATCATTTAATCTGTTTTGACATGGGTGATTTTTGAATATTTGAAAGCTGTCATTACTGTTGGTTAGGTCTGTGGATTATGTCAATACCACATGGTCTTTAAATGCTTTTGAGAATTAAATATTATTTATGTGCCATTGTATTGGGTTTTAGGTTCCTGATCATGTGCATGATTTATGCTGGGCATTTAATTTTTTAATATCTAAATCCCTACGTAGATATAAATAAAAGGGATATTTATAAAGTGATCCTCATTTCTTTTCTTGGTTCAACTATTGATAAATTATCATTAAATAGAATGAAACTTGATTTTAGTAAGTTGATATATAGTAAAATATTGAAAGAGAAATGTATTATGTAATATTAAAATATTTATTTGATTGAGTTGTATTTTAATGCTGATCCCAAGATCAATTGGAATGACCAATTTTAGAAGTAGATTTTTCCTTAGCTTTTGAAGTCATTTCTATTTATAAGCAAGATCCATTTATATCTATAATTCATGTTTTCTTGAGTGAGCTGTTTGTTTTTACCTTGCAATCCAGTTATTTACTTTTTAATCAGATATACCTTATTAGAGCCAAATCCTTAACCATGACAGTGGGAATAAACCATACACTATCTGCATTTGTACCCAGGCGAGTGAAATAACATGAATAGCAATTGACAGCTTAGTTACAAAAAAAAATTGCTTACTGTGCAAGAGTTTGTCAGAGGTGTTCAATATTTTGGTGGTTAGCCTTGTTTGGATTTGTTGTACTTGTGTTAGTAGACAATAGAGTTGTTTGTTTTAGACCTTAGCAAAACATTTTCTTGTTAAAGTCAACAACGTACCACGACCATATTCACAGTTAATATATATTTTGATGTATATGGTGTCTAGATTTATAAGACAACTTCTAACTTTTCCAGTTAGCATAAAGCGTTTTACCCTATAAGGTGATCATTTTTCCGATGATTTTCCAGGGTTACAAAGTCATATGATGGAACATACAGTAGTTTGCTCAGTATAAATATAAGAGAATCTGATGTCTTTAGTTTTCTGTGAGTCGTCCCAATTGATGAATTATTTCACCTTTTCACTGTCAAGTTGTAATGTGACCACTGCAAATTATTCAGCAATAAATTAAGAGGTACATAATGTCTTGGTATATTGGAGACATTGATATCTTTACACTGAGTAAATCATGTTACCCTAGCTGCAGGTAATCTTAATAAAAATGAATCACTCAGTAGGTATTTAACACTCATCTTTCTCAGTGCATCTTTTAGCCAAAATTTATATTAAAACTAATGATAGCAGCTCAGCTGTATTATATCATAAAATACAGTTAGGACAAGAAAACCTCTTGTTTTTCAGGTATTTTTAGAATTAAAAGTACAATGGTAAATCAAGATATAGAGTAATTTGAGTAATTTGCTCCATTAAAATTTCTTGGATGTCAAATTACTTGTATCTCAAAGCGATTTTTTTTTTTTCCAGTGAAATTAATTAAAATGCCCTTAATCTATTTCAACCCACAAAAAGCCACCCCAGCTGTTTTTTTATAAGAATAGTATTTATACACAGCAAATTGTGGTTAAAATCAAAACAGTATAACAGCTAATGCAAAGAAACTAGTTTTGTAAAATGTATAGTACCTTGAAAATAAGATGCTGGTGGAGATGTAGGCCCTACTCATTTTAATTCACTTACTCGTTACACTCTGCAACACTTAAAACTTAAATATGTCATTAACTTGCTCTGATGCACAATCATTTGCAACTTTTCCAGGGATTTTCTTCTCTACAAACATTTTATTTAATACGATAATCTGGTTACTCGTATCTCAAAGTTTTGCTCAAATGTCAAAGTAAATTTTAGCTTGCTCGACAGTTCGCATTAAAAAATTCTCCTGTGTCTGAGCACTTGTATGTTGAGGTACCACTATATTTACAATCAACGAAAGTTATTGCTTGTAACAGGTGATTTTAATAATAGAAAAAGTAATATTAATTTAAAAAAAAACCTTCAAGATTTTTGAAGTTCCATCAACTTCTATTATTTTTAATCTTACAGTATTTGTCTACACATTAATTTCTTTTATCTCTATGGCATTAGAAAACTTTTACTTAAGCATTTGATGAGGACTGACTATTACCTGCTTTAACCAGAGTGTAAACTTGGTCATACTTGTGTATTCTTAATATTGTGTTATCTGACTAGTTTCTGATTCATGAATAGGCTGCAGTAATGTTTAATTTTTTTAAATCCAGCTTTATTTATTAAATGTTGGCTAATGATTCATCACGAAGTTTTTCTGTAATCGACATATTGCTGTGAGGTGCAAAGATTATGATTTTCTTCAATGTCAGTATCAATGATTTCTTCAATGTCAGTATTAATTAATAACAAAATCAAACTTATACAGGTTACAAATTTATCCATCCACAAAAAGTGTTATAAATTGTTACTGATAAACAAACAAAAACATGCAAAAAGTAGTGTAACGTGTCGGGAAAAGGTGATTTGACTGATTTTCTCTGCAGCTGCATTGTCTTAGCTGGCTATCACGTTGTCAAATTATTTTGTAGGCTGTCTTAAAGAAAAATATCTACTTTGTGTCTTTTGGTTGTGACAACAGTTGTTTGTATTTCAATTCGGTTTTTATTAAAACTTTGGATATTCTTGATCACAGTTTATAAATGCACTACATCTTTCCTTGCATGAGCTTTTTTTTCATCTGCGCTGACATTTTTGCGTTGGTTGTTTCATTGGTCTGATGCATTTTATGTTCTTAAATCACTAATGCAAATTTTTTCTCCCAAAAATTAATTTTTATAGTGAGTTTTATAAGGCTTTGCAATTGCTGCCAAATAATGATGCATTTCTTTGAATTTCTTTGACTTGATTTAAAAGTTTTCTCCCTTGATTGCAATGAGCTTGTCTCTCTCATGCTTGGATACATGTCTGTGACAAATTGTTTTCATTACTTTCTTAGTGCCTGATCTAAGGAGTGACTACATTGACTTGTCCATGAATGGTGACCCTGATATGAAAGGTGAGTTTGTCATCCACTGTTTGCCCCTGCACAGCTCATCTTGACCCACAAGCTTGTCAGCCTTGTTGTACCGTACTAGCTGGTCTGCCGCAGTTTTTGACATTCAGAACTGAGTGGGACTTTATACCAAACCTTCTCACTGTTTATAGTTTTGGTAGTTGAACTTACTATTCCATGTCTTCTCTTTCCTCTGCTTTATTTTTTGAAGAAGGAAAAAAAATGTCATTGTTATAAAAAATTAAGCATGTTCTTAATAAAATTGCACCAAAATTCTTACTGTTGATGGGTTTTAAGACAAAGTTGCTGAATAGTCAAAACTCATGATATACTCTTATCCATTAAGTTTTCTTAACAGAACTTGAAGATAACTGTATAACTTTTTGAACCAAAGTTTAAATCTGACACTTTACTTTACAATATACAAGTTAAGGTTCTATTTATAGCTGTAACTTTAGCCTAGATCTAGACTTGTTTCATTTTATTTGGATTTCTCAATCAATATGAATTTTTTTTTTTTGCCTTCTTAGTTTACAACTCGTATTAAGTGACCCTCTCGTACTGGGTATAGAATTCATTGATTTTATTTCTTATGGGGATTTTGACTGATTCAGGGCAAATGTTTGCTAAGTAACAATTTACAAGTTGGCCTATAGAAAAAAGTTCTGGGTAATATTTTAAAAAGTATAATGTGATGATCATAACATCATGATTTTCTGTAATGATCTTTGTGTTTTGTTTTATTACCTATGATACGTTCTAGACTTGGCTGCTGTGATTTTTGTTTTCTATTTACATTGTTGGTATGGTTATTTTAATTATTCAGGGTGTTTTTCTACTTCTGAAGATTCCTTGTATAATTGTCATGGATTTTTGGAATAGTTAAGTTTAAGTTTTGGAGTCAGATTGTTTTATGTTTTGTTTTAATATGAGAATATTTGGATCAACCATAAACTAATTAACACTTCTTAATTTTGGTTTAAAAAAAAAAGCTTGTTTAGGAAAGTTAATTTTTAAAACAGAACCACTAGATTTTTTAATAAGCTTTAATGCATTATGTTATTTATACATTTTACTGTGTTATTGCCTGCTTTTGTAACATTTGTTGCTGTTAGAAGGTTCTTAAAGTGTATTAGGCTACTATAGTAGAGTATCTCTTTTCCACAAGTCTTTCTGGTTTGTTTCTTTTTTTAAAAAAATGCTCTTTTAAAATAAGCTCTTTTTAAATCTTAACATACAAATATAAGCTGTAGAGCTACACTTCTGTTGACTTGCTAGTCTGGTAAAGTTTTCTAGAAATTGAGGCTAGTAAAATTGCTGGCATAGAAGCAATAAGATTGAAATGATTGATGCACATTTTTTTTCTCCTTTTAATAAATTGTGATATGACTTATGCATCAGAGTTCATTCAGGCTTAATGTTCAAGGTGATGCTCCTAAGTATTTGACTGTCTTGACAGTAGGTCTATATGTAGAAAATGATATGAAAATGTGCAAGTAACTTGATTTTGTGCTCTGAAAAAAAAAACCCACTATGCTTTATGAACAAATTCTTTGTGACATTTACTTAACATTGTAGTTCTAAGTACTGTGGTCCAATATTGATTTTGATACCAATACCAGTGTGTTAAAGGGCCATCTGTGGAATAACATGAGACCTTATTTTACACTTGACACCCCCCCCCCCCCCCCACCCCCATTCTCCCCCCTGCTGGTACCACATATTCCTTGTAGGAAACTAATATGGCTGGCTCTTGATAAGGAAACTAAATTAGGGCTGTTTCAAGTTTTGACCTGACCATTGAAGTATGGGGAACCCTTATTTAATTCCCCATTTGGAAAATGAGACTATAAAACAATTTTAACATGTGTGTAAACTTTTTAAACTTGTGTGTTTTGTTTAACTACTGTTAGATGTTTTACATTAAACCTGTAATTCAGTATTGTGTCACAAAGGATTGAAGAAACAGCTAAATGCTTCAGCTGTAATCTGATAGAATATTAATGTTGGTTTAAAAATTGACTTGAAGATTAACAAAATAGGTTGGGTTATCTCAAATTTGGGAGAGGGGGGCGGGGAGAGAATATTAATGTTGGTTTAAAAATTGACTTGAAGATTAACAAAATAGGTTGGGTTATCTCAAATTTGGGAGAGGGGGGCGGGGATCTTAAATTTAGGAATATGGGGGTGGAGGATTATTAAGAAATGCTAGCAAGTACTAGCAAGTAACCCTTGGCCTTCCAGTAGTTTACTTAACTCTTTTTACCAACAATTTGTATATTTTTCAACCATAATTAGAGGTAGATTGCATGGTGGCTCAGTTTTAAAAAAGATTGCTATCTAACATTAGTGCCGATTATATGTTTGAAGAAGAGACAATAAGAACACCAGTATGTTTAAAATGTTTTAATCAACACATTGATATTTGTGCAATCTTAAAACAATGTTTTGATTCATTTAATTTTTTTTTTTTTTACTTTAGGATGTCCTTTTTAATTACCTTTTTTCCTTCCTTATTAATCTACACATGCCTGTGACCTATTTTTCTGATATGATTCTATTTATATCAAATAGTTGTTTTGGCCTCTATAATTATCTCTGTAACATAGATTTAAAGCAAACAGAAATGTATGTATGACATACATTTACATGTATTAAATTAAAGATTGTAATTTACTTTTGAGAAATCTATTTGTTTACGAAATACTTTAATAAAAATAAAAAACTTGTATTGAAAAAAGTAACCAAATGAGTAGGCTGTTTTTATTTTTAAAAAGTATAAAGCGCAACAGAAATTGGAGTCTTTTAAAAATAATGTGATGCATTTACTTAAAAAAAACTAAATCAATCACATAAAGCAATTTATCTTTGAATCAGTGACATCTACACTACTTCTAAGTATGGCTACTCTTCTTGGTCTTGCCACTCTCCACATTTTAATTACTGCAGTTAGTTTGGACTGAGTTCACTAACTGATGCACATTGTTACATTTGTGTAACTGTGTTCAAACTTAGGCAAATGCTGCTTGAAACCATGTCCCACATTGTCCAGATACCCTGTCAACATTTCAATACACAGTGGCCAACATGTCTTGTTAATCTCATGTGTCTTAGCCCTACCAGTTAAATAAAGAATTTGACCACAATTTCTCTGCAGTTCCTGGCAACATCCACTCAGGGGTATCTGGCAATGACAGCATTATGGCTACAGGGGTGTTCTCAGCCTCAGAATTACTTCTTGTAACTAAAGGTGAGGGAGCTCTTTTGTTTTTTTTTCTTCTTACATCCTTTCTAGTGTTTCACACTCTTTCTAGTCCCACTTCTCTTATACAGTTGACAAAAACCATCTAAAATCTTTGCTAACAATTTGAAAAATGTGAATGAAATTTTTTAAAAAAGGTAAATTTGTTTACAATGTTTGTGTCTTTATTATTTAGCCTCCATAATGATTTCTCCCAATGGAAATCACACCCTTCTCCCACAAGGGAGATTAGATTCCCCCAACTACTACAACTACAGCCCACAGGATCAGCATGGCTCCATGCTACAGATGCATCCTGTGACCATGACAAATGGACAGTCCTCTCTCAGTCCTGCTGGAGACTCGTACAGTAAGTTTTTATTATAGTCCAACGCCAACTAGTGATAAAAGATGTGTTTTTGTATTACCATGAGACTCATAAAGCAGGGATCTATTGTAGTCCAATAACATTTACTCAAGAATTTTGGTTGACAACCTAAAAGTCTATCCCACTGTTAGTGAAGGTGGATAGGATTGCTTATGCAGTAACTTATGCAGGATTTTGGATTTGGAGTTAAAAAAAATTAAAATAATATTTCCAAATAGATTCCAGATAAATGTATATTTTTTCCAGAAATTTTTGTTTTAAATGAGAGTTTTTGTTCTTGCAGGTCATCCTCACAAAAAATTAAAGCGTAACCATATAAACTCTATGTCATCTGTGGAGGATGATGTGGAGAGTGTGGAAGGGGAGGAGAGCCTGAGTGGCTACTACACTAAAGGAAGTCTGGCACACCAGTCATGGCAGGGGGATCATATGGAACCAGGTAGATCTTTTTGTTTTTGTGTGTTCACGGGATTTAGAGGATACTTCAATGAAACAAGATTTTGTTTGGGCATCTCATGTAATGGGGATCTTATGGAATCTGGTAGATTTTTATTTTTTAACAATGACAGGTTGATCATTTGGATTGAGATAGAAGTTGCTCTTTTTATCTCTGTCAAGGGGGTAATAGAAAACTAAGTTGTTTTTTTTCTATTGCCTTAAGAAGTCTGGAGAGCCACTGATTAAAGTTGTCCTAGTACTAGCAATGTAGCAGTGTAATAAAATTGTGTTCATCTTTCCTCCATGTCTGTAGGCTTAAGCCAAGGCTCCTCCATGCACTCACCACACATGATGTTACCTGTCAAACCAAAGCAGGAGCCAGGCTTTGCACCAGTGTCACCATCAGGTATGGGGGGTCAACACTCACGCCCCATGGCCCCTACCCCACCCCGGCCTATGAGCACACACACGCCAGGGATGATGTCAGTTGGGCATTCTCAACAACACACACCACCTGGCACGGGTCAGTATTTTGTTATGTCCACTTATAGATCAATGTCAAAAAGAAAATGGTTAGATTGATAGCCTGAAAGCCTTGAGTTAGAATCCTGGGATTGAGTCTGTAGGACGTCCCAGAGTCCACTCAGCTCTAATGGGTACCTACCTAAAGTTAGGGAAACTTTGGTGACTGGGCATAGTGTCGACCACACTAATGCCCTGTGTGCAGAGGTTACTAAAACAGATGGTGTCTGTGGTACTAATGGCCAAAAAATGATGAAATAGTAATTAAGTTGTCTATTCGTATAATTTTATACTCATTTTTTAAAATGAATATTAATTTTTTAATAAAAATTTTATTTTCAGAAAATTATTTTTGTTTGGGTAGATTCCTTTAATCATGTTATTAAGTTGGTGTTTTAAAATAATTATTTTAGTCTGAATGACATAATAAAAAGTAGCAGTGCCCTTTGAAAAAAGAACTCAGCAAAAATCATGTATTTCATAACCTGCTGTAACGGAACTATTTTAGCTCACACCTTTTGTTGTCTCTTGCCTGTAAATACATTTGAGTTATCCTGTACTTCAGGTTTAAGTCATGTTATGGCAAGCCAGCATGGAATTAAGTATGAAGGCCAACAGAACAATGACACTTTCTCTGACTTTGTGACATTGGTATGTCAAGAAGCACAGAATTCTCAAAATCATGTGAGTAAATAACTTCAAACTATCACAACTTACACCCATTTGGTAGCAATAGTGTATTTACTATGTGGCAATCAAACACTGTTCTTTGTAAAAGTGCATTCAGTGTTGTATTGACATTTTATTTTTTGACAATGTTGTTTGGGTTGGATTCCTTTCAGTTTTAGTATGTTTAGACTTGAATGTAACTTGACATAAAAAATGTTCTGGTTAGTGTTGCCACTAACATCTATCCTAATTTATAAAAGGCCATGTGCGCTCTTCTCTCTCTCTCTCTCTTTCTCTGTCCGCAAAAAATTTTCGCCGGACATCACGTCAGAATCGGCAGCGGTATATGGAGAACTTTTTACGGACTTTTGTTGAAAATAATATGTTAGATGTTTTAAATGTATAACCACAATTTTACTTAAAGAAGAAAAATAAAAATTAAAGGCGTATTCGAATGTAGAGAAACAGTATTATTTATGCAACCGGAAAAGCATTAATATATGTGAAAAAGAACGCATAAAACTGTGACGTCACTATTGCTTATACATTAACTAATGACGTCATCTGCCGTGTTAAGAATGAAAAGAAATGAACTATTTCATTCAAATTTGATTTAGATCTACGTACACTATTTGATTTAGATCTACGTACACTATGAAATGTATACAATACAATTTTTCCGGCCTAAACTCATAAAATTTATTTTATGTATTTGGATTCTAGATCTAGAGATTCTAGATCTAGACTAAATCTAAATCTAAATCTACGCAATAACTAGATCTAGACGTAGACGCTAAGATCTAGATTTAGACTCTAACTTCTCTAAAATCAATTCCAAAAATAAATTTCTATATTAGGACTAAACTATTTCAAGACTTATTTATTTTATACAAAATCTTTGTTTGGAACTGGCTAATTTGGGATAAAAAATTAATTTGAAAGAATAGGCATATTCGCGTAAGTTAAGATTTTAAAATACGTGTTTCATTCTCCGTATTTTATAAGGTGCCTAAATAGCGGAGATGTTAATGTACATTAAACCACGCAGGTGGTGCGGGTTCGAGACACAGCAAGTCAACTTGGTTAATGTATTCTTTTTTATTATGCTCGGGCTAAACTTAAAAAAAAAATTCTTTTAGGAATCTAGATCTAGATCTAGATTGTCGGGTGTCCGATAGGGCACTTCCCGGCGCCGCAGGCGCTTCAAATTTGGCATGATCTTGCCTTGGTGCGACAGAACACGGGGGCCGGTTGGCCGAAAAGTCTACGATGTGGGGGTCAAAACTGACCTCGACTGACGGGTACCTTATATGAGCTATAAATCGAAAAAAAATGTCCACGGAGGAACCTCTTCATAACTCTTGAGGTCGTAGACCGACCTTCGGGCGAATTAATTAAGCATTCAAATTCTCAATGTTTTCGAAAGCCTAATCGAAGCTGGGCAGCATGCCTAGTAGACCTATAAATGACATGATGAGAGCTCATTGTTTGCTTCCAGTCAGGACAAAACTCACCACCTATACGAAGTCCCAACAGGCTGACACAGTTCTTCTCTCCTGGGATGTTGCCACCACCGCCCCCACCCCCTCCCAATTTAGCCAGACCTGTAGCCATCCTTCAAACCTCAGATGGTCACAGCATTAACCAGACAACTACATCAGCAGGTAGGGACATTGATCTTTTATAACCTTCTTCGTTTACCCCATGCTCTAACTCTTGTGTGTTTGCTCTTAAATCTGGCAGCACCTTAGAGCATTCATCGCACCCTATTGCCAGCTGTACACATAGGGGTATGTGCTGAACTCATTAACAACTCTGAAGATTTCCTCCCTCATATTGCCAGTGGCTAACTCTAAAATATCCCATTCTGTTACTCTTGGAGAGGGGAGGCAGTTCTTAGGGGTTGATCTACAGACACAAACATGGAAAAATTAGTTGTGGCTTATGAATTCTAATGATGCACTAGACCAGCCATCATTAATTTTCCATCATTAAAGTCATAATGACTATAGTTTAAGGATAAATTTGTAACATTCCCTTGCCTAGCACAGATATTTGTGCTAAACTGTTGTTTTTTTTTTTCTGCTGGCAGGGAGTAACAGCAACCAGCACGGCTCTCATGGAGGTGTGTCAAGTTCCCCCACAACCCCACCAGTGAGTCGAGCCATCATGTCTAGTCCCTTTAACTTGCTGTCTCGGTCTGAGCATGCCTTCACTCACATACACCCACAGGTGAGCTTTGCATGGTTCTACCTGGTCCCAGATCTCTAAGGCATTTGGTTTTTTCTTTTTTTAAAAACTTTAAGAAAATATAAACATTTTTTTTTTTAATATTGTAAAGGCTACACAAACTAATAGTGTTGATAAATATATATATGACGTTAGTAAAAACTAAAACACATTAGCGTTTGTTATTAATATTTGTTTAATATGCTGTTTAATTTTAAAGTTCTGTAGCTATAATTAGAGTCTTTGAGTAGCTTGAAGTGAAGATGAAATGAATCATTAATCAGGAGCGTAGAGATCTGGGTTGCATGTGGCACTGTTTAGACCTGCAGTAGAAAACTCTGCACCTGACTTGGCCTCACCTGTTCTCATTATGACAACATAACTGTTGACTTAGTTTGTTAATGTTTATCCAGCTCTGCATGTCTCTTACATTGAGTGGTTTTGGCATTTACTCGTACCACGTTTTAGCTTGTGTTAAAATTTCAGCAACTTTTCACCACCTATTAATCAATTTTGGAATCAATTTTTAAAGTGTTTTTTGTTTTTTAATTATCCATTAAAATTATCCATATTTTTACCACCTGTGTGAAGCATGAAAGCCACCCTATTTATTTAAGTACACTGCTATAGATTGTTTAGGTCCTTACCAGTGAGTGACAACAGGTGATAATTGACCATGTTTTCTAGTGGTCAAGTATGTCTACTTCAGGTGTAACAGTGTTTTGTCTCAAGTAAATGTTTGATACAATCAGCTGTTATACTCACTTAATGTTCACAAACATTCTCTGGTGAAATTTGTCTTGTGTTGGATTTTAAATTTTCTTTTAAGTATGTTATTGGTTTCACCCCTTTCAAATTAGTTGGTATGTTACAAAGATTGCTGGTATTGCATGGCTCCCCTTAACTTAGATTTTCACAAGCAATAAAAAAAAAAGCTTTGTCTTGTGTCTGCAACAAATTTTACACTTTATATGGAAGTCAATGCTCGTTTTTGTACTTCTGATCTTGGACCTTAAGTGTTAAATGCACTGCATGCTAAGTGCTAGTTAGATAATAGCTCATGTTGTTAATTAAGTTTAACATAGGTTTGTGTCTATAATACTTCCAATAGATGATAAATCTATATATATATAGATCTATGCTGCATCTTAAATTGTGTTTTCAAAAAGAAAAAAATTGCATTTTCTCATGACAGAAGGCTTTGTGTGCTTCACAGGTCTTCACATACCCTAGTATTAGCCCAGTGAATGCTATAAGTGGGGTCATCAGTCCAACAACTCTAAGTTTGATAGCTTCACCCATGGCAACACCTCGCACCACACCAAGGTCAACTCCTATACCTAAATGGAGCTCCAGTTTTCTTCCCATGGATGAAAACATTGACTACTCTATGTTGGCTAACATTGTACCCACAGTCAGCACAGATGAAGCTTTGCTTGGAGAAGGTAACTGTGTCTGTAAGTACCCACTTTTTCAAAGTTGTGTCTTTAGTCAGTTTGCTTTGCTAATGTGTCTATGTATACATGGCTCTTGTCCATATCATGAAAAAAGCTTATATATGACAAGTCCTATGGGTAACTAATAAAAAGTTATCCAGTAAAGGCAGCTAGGAATTGTACTGACAGCATAATTTCATAATATTTCTTTATCCAGAGTTAGTTATCTTGACCTATTAATAAGATTCTAGAGGTGTTTACTTTTTTTCTCTGCCACAACAGTTTGACTAGAAATAAGTTCTCTAATTTTTTTCCCCCACAGATCGTTACTTCTCTGCTGTTCATTCCAACGAAAGCTTGGATTCTTCAAACGGTGCCTCCAACCAGGGCACCCAGACACAGCAGCACCCACAACAAGCACTGCCTCAACAACACCAGCAGCAACAACAAGGAAGCTCAGGTTTGCATCAGCAGCAGCAGGCGCCACCTGGCACACCGCAGACCCCTGGCTCGGATGGTTCTCCCAAGCACGTCTAGCACCACCAGACTTAGGGTCAGGGTTTCGCAGACACTCAGCTGTTCTATGACTGGCATATTTTTTTCTCTCTCTCTCCCTGTTCACTTTTTTAACATTGGTAAACCACGTAAGTGTTGACACATTTTCCTCGTCACCAAGCCAGCTCTTGGTGTTGGAGGGCATCTCATATTTATTCTCTAACATTTCCTCCCAATGATAAAAAAACATACTTCACTGTCTGTCTGCGGCCATGGTTGTCTTGCTGATGCTTTGATTAGTTGTTCAATTTGTTGGCTGTGTCCTGCAACAAATCCCCCAAAAAACTGATGAGAACTTTGCCTGTAACATTTGGCCTATCTACCTCTGCCGCTGAGCATGACCGCTCACGGTGATTGTGACTGTTGAGGCTGTTGTTTGATCTGATTTAACCACTGATATTTATTCTGTGAACAGCAAGCCTCTGTGATTGAGCCCTACCCCCTTTCAGTTTAAGATTCTCCTCTAATGTTCTTCCCTAATTCATCACCCTTCTGCTTCGGCAAACAAAAAAAAAATTCATGCCAATTATGCACTAGACTTTATGAGAAAAAAAAATACTTGATGCAAATTATAGCTCTGCAATATTGTTTCTTTTTTGGGAACTTTTCTAAACATTACTTTTTAGTTATTGTTTTATAAAATTTTCTTGGATATTTGTTTAATGTTATGCAAATATTTTTTTTTTATGCCTGATGTTACAGTAGTGTGATCAGAAAGGATTGTTCAGACTTTTTTCTTGTATGTCAAAGCAGCAGTAGATTGTATCCTCAGTTTAGGTTCCACTGGGTCATGGTTGCCTTACTTTGTTGTTATTGAAGTACTTGATTTCTGTTAGATACCTGAACTGCTGGTTTTCTCCTGTGTTTTCCCACCTGAGGAGGGGAGGTGGTGAGTTGACCAACACTCGTTGGCATCACTTGGCTGTTCAAGTCTTTCATGCAGTAACATTTATAATGTGGATTTAACATCTGGACTTATAAAGACTTAAAACCAAAATTTTCATCTCAGTTATGAAATGGAATATTATTTGTCAAACAAATTTTCATTCAAACTTTTTTTTTTTAATTTTAAAAGTGATACTCTTAAAGCTCATTTATTGTAGAATTTCTTTGAGTTGTATACATACAATTTTTAAAAAATGTATAACAAACTATAAGTATAGGTTGTACATTTATGGATAAAATCAACTTTCGAAAGGTAGTATTTATATCTGATAATCCAGATACTAAACTGTTTGCTTCCCTTTTTTGTGATTGTTAAATATATAATGCTTTGTCTAACAGACTACTCTAGTTCACTTATAAGCAAAGGTTATTCTGATATTTTAGAGAAAAAAACACTGGTAAAATAAAAATAATTTATTCATGTACAAATTAGTAAGAAACTATTTATTTATGTATAATTAAGTATCTACTCTGGTTATCTACCCTTCATCATGTTTTTTATTATATAAAACCTTTTTCAGTATTCATGTTACACCATTTTTACTATTTAAAAAACTACTCATTTAATTGGTTGGTGTGTGCATGTGTGTGTGTGAAACAAGCAATGAAGTAGTGGAGTGTCTTAACTTTTTACATGGAACATGTGTCTTTCAATTTTTTTCACTTGATCAAATGGGACTGTTTAACACTAGAGAAATATACATTAGTTGCTTTTCTTTTTAGATGCAATTTTTTTTTTATGTAAACATTAGATTAATATACATGAATATGTTTTAGATGATTTTTAGCTTTAACACTTGTATATTTATCTTGAATCTTCCAATAGAGAGGTACACCTTCTCTCACTCCCTTGGTTTATCTCTTCATCCCTCTCACCTTGTGTGTGTTATAATTTAATATATTGTGTCATAAAGAAAATGTAACTCTTTCTCTCTTTGCTGTGGGCAGGCAAGCACACGTGGGTGCTTATGGGCTGTGATACAAATGTATTTTTTTTTTGTTTTATCTATTGAGAGCCTTCAAATGATATTTATTCTCTGTTAATTTATTTAACCTAGCCAACCAGAATTATTTCAAATCAACAACTTCCAATTTTCATCTAAAATGATTGGGTTTTTTAAACAAAGTTATTTAATTTGTAAACTGTGTTGATTGTACATTTTTTTTGTGTGGTATGTACACATGACTTTTCTGTAGATACAAAGTGGCCAGATTAATGTCAGCAAATCTCGGTCATATTTATGCAAGTCAAGGGCCTAAACTGATGTAAATAGATAACAATGTTATAGTTTGTTAGAGTGGGTGCCTAGCTCTACTATAAGCCCGTTGGTCTAATTTATTTCTCCCCCCCCCCCCCCCCCCCCTGTAGTTGTTGATACAGTTCTCTAAGACTTGAGAGTTTGATGGATAGAAGAAATTAAATGTGATCTGTACTTAATCTTTTTACATTGTGAAGATTGACACTGTAGACTAGCAATGTTACAATGCTAGCAGTTTTTTTTTTTAAATTCTTGGAACAAGCAAAACCATTTCATTTTTATTTTATCTATGCAAGATTTTAAGTATACCATTTTTTTTTTGTCTTGATAAAAACTTCCTTGTAGCTGTGTATTTTGTAGTTTATTTATTTGCCAGAACAAATCTTAAGAAACATCCCCCACCCCTCACAGAGTTGACCCAACAAAGCAACCTTGACATGAATGAGTTGCATGTGTCATAGTTCTAGCTGTTCTCACAGAATGAACTTACCCCCTTGTATGATGAAACATACGTTCATTGAGATGTTTTTTTGTTTGACAGTATTGATGTTGACTCAGCAGAAGTTTCTGACACAGAGGTTACGTATACATACGAGAGCTTTGTTCTAGTGGAAGATTTGCCTCTTCTATCTACCTCCCTTTAATATGTGCTAACAGAGGTCACATCCACTGCTAGAGTTTTCTTCTACATTTCATGTTTGAATATTTTAATCACTTCCATTTGAAGACTGCTGTAGCATAGAATTTTTTTTTTTTTTAAATCTGATTTCTTTTCAGTGTTAATAAACTGTACTAAGCAATTCTAACCAACCCCCTGTGTATATGCCAGTACCAGTTGACCTATAGTATTATCATGTTGTTACACCTTTCTTGCATTTGAACATTTTTGTTTTGGTTACATTTTGTTTTCTACGATACCAAGATGGTAGTTTGTGTACCGCTACCACCAGTGCTAGTTTGACGGGGGTCCTGATCTCCTCAACACTTTGGTTGCCTTCTCAATGTTTATGCATCACACCTAGACAGCAAGACAGTGTGTAGTGAGTTTTTTTCTTTGCCGTCCCACTGGGCAGCTTCATGACTAGCAAACAATCCATCTATGCATTAAAAGGCAGTGGTTTGGTTGTTGTTTTTTTTTAAAAATTAATTTACTTGTCGAGTGAAACCTTTACTAGTTTGTCCTTGAGAAGTCTAAACTTAACAATTTGAAAGAAAAATTGGGGACAAGTTGAGCTGTAGGCTGTCGATTAACTCATTTGTAAATGCTATTCAGTTTGGTGCCGAATAATTCTCTTGAGGTGAATATAACTGTCGCTTACTTTTATCATTCTTGATGCCTAGCCAAATCAAATCTTTTTGACTTATGCAAGTAATTTTGGCCTTATTTATGTCTTCATCTTGTTGTCTATAGCCTTGTTGATGACTTGTTTCTGTACAGTAGTCCTGTAGAGGGAGGCTAGTTGTAGTATCTGGTTATGGTCCTTGTCTACTTGTGCATGCATACTGGCCCTTTGATCTGGAAGGGAGATCACTCTAAGCTACTGCTAGCTAAAATATCTTATGTACCTTGTTGACATTTAAGGGGATATGCTATGTTTTTTTCTATTTTTTACAGTCTAAGATCTAAAGCCTTTTGAATACTTTTATCATATTTGGCATATAAAAGTAAGTATTAAACAGCAAAAAAAAGGGTCGAAAACAATTTTGGTTGTCATGGAAACCCAAAAAACCTCCGCCATTTTGAATTTTTTGGTACTTTTAAAAATACTAAGGCTTTTTTATTTATGCACCTATAGCAATCAAATTTAAACTGCTTATATTTCAGTATATATTAAAACTTTTGTCACGACAACTTTTTGAAATAATTACGAGTAAGAATTTTACAAGGTCTAAAAAATCGTACCCTTTTTAATATTCAAAATTTGCATATTAATTACCAAATACTTTTTTTCTATGAAAGCAATCATAATTCCCTCGTGACAAAAATTGTATTTTTGCATCAAGAACAATTACTGAAAATATGGTTGGCATTGTTTAATAAATAAAAACGTAGTAGGCTTTTTAGTGTTAAAAACATGCGAACTGAGAAAAACAGCCAAAAGTAACGAAAACTAGGTCAGGAAAGTACCATATCTGTGTAAACTGCAAAGCCGATTGTAAGGTTTGGGTGTTTCCGAGGTGTAAAAAATTAAGTTTATTAGACACATGAGAAATCAAGCTTTCCAATGATGTCAAATACAATATAATGACGGATATAGAACTTTTCATAGAGAGCTTGTAAGATTGGGAAAAATTGATTATTTTTTAATTAATAGGTTCATAAAAATCGTAATTCAAACACATAAAATATTTTTTTCTCTTTAAAGTTATTGTTCTCTTTTTACAAAAATGGACAAAGTATCCAAAAGTGCAAGAAACCCATCATGACGAAAAACAAGAAATTTTGTGATTTTTTCCCGCGCATATCCCCTTAAATAGAACAGTTTTAAATACAAGGGTTAAAAACTTTGTGGGAATAAACTTAGCAGTTGCTGGTCTTTCCCTAATAAAAATACTTTAAAGTTACTTTTCTTTAGTTAAGAGTTTGGCCTCTAGGAAGACAAATAAACAATTGCTTTTAAAATGGTTTAACAAAGAAAAGAAATGTTATGCAAACAAATTGATGTATTGTTTACCTTTTTTATTGTTCGAACTATATTATAACAAATATTAGCGCTTCCTGTTTCCATATGGATAGATAATTTGAAAGTATCCATATGGATAGATAATTTGAAAGTATCCATATGGATAGATAATTCAAAAGTTAAAACTAGGAAGAAGCTGTAGATGGCTCTGTGATTGTAAGCTCCACCACGTGGTCAGTTGCCAACATAAGTCTTGTCTAACATATTTTGTAATCTCATGTACATTTTTTTTTTATTATCTTAACTTATTTGGATGATGTACAGCTTTACCTGCCCCCTCCCTGCCCCCCTCTAATAAACAAATGTGCCCCCGCAACCATACCTTCAACCATGTACAGAACTCTAACTGGCTGTGATGCCCTTGTACATATGTTGTATACATTGTTGGTTTATTTATTCATGTATAGTCAGGCTTGTGTGTGCATGTTCATCCATGATATGCTCAACAGTTTACATTGATTAGCTGTCACTTTTCTACAGCACCGCACCTACCTTTGGTTTTTTTTCTCTCTCGGAATTGTTTTCTCTCCATCAGACACTTTAGAGAAGGGAAAGGTCAAAATGAAGTTGGGGCTGGATTTCTGTGGTTATTGGTGCATTAAGTACCATGTAGAGTTATGTTGAAGACAGCTACACCATTTGGGTAGAAGGCCAGATAGGCCAATGAATCTTTGATATAAGCAAGCCAGTGGTTTGTGGAATAAAACTTAGTATTACTTAGATTCATGCTCAGAGATTTAGTCATATTTTGTAAACAATGACAGGTCAGGCCTGACAGCGAGTCATGTGTGACAATTGGCTGATTATGGATGAATACCACCTAGAGATGGATAGTAGACTAAGTCCCATCAGGTGTTTTGTAGGCCAGTAGAGACATGATCTGGTGACTTTTTCATCACCTGGTGACTTTTCATCATCTGGTGACTTGGTCATTTGGTGACTTGTTCACCATTTGGTGACTTGTTCACCATTTGGTGACTTGTTCACCATTTGGTGACTTGGTCATTTGGTGACATGTTTATCATTTGGTGACTTGTTCACCATTTGGTGACTTGGTCATTTGGTGACATGTTCATCATTTGGTGACTTGTTCATCATCTGGTGACTTGTTCACCATTTGGTGACTTGTTCACCATTAGGTGACTTGGTCATTTGGTGACATGTTCATCATTTGGTGACTTGTTCACCATTTGGTGACATGTTCACCATTTGGTGACATGTTCACCATTTGGTGACATGTTCACCATTTGGTGACATGTTCACCATTTGGTGACTTGGTCACCATTTGGTGACTTGGTCACCATTTGGTGACATGTTCACCATTTGGTGACATGTTCACCATTTGGTGACTTGGTCACCATTTGGTGACTTGGTCACAATTTGGTGACTTGTTCATCTGGTGACTTGGTCATCTGGTGACTTGGTCATCTGGTGACTTGGTCATCAGGTGACTTGTACATCATCTGGTGACTTGTTCATTTTACGCTGAACATCTTAACAAAATTATATGCCTAATTAAACAGGAATTCAACATAAGCTTTTCAATATGTAAATTTGATGAATAAATTAGTTTAGCCAGTGAAATGTGTCCTAAAGCCCAATGGGGCTGAGTGGATTATCCAAGATATTATTTCTGTTGATCAAGTATTTAAGAATGGCAAATGAAGTATTAGAGATGTTATCAATATGGCTGTGATGGAAGGTGATTTTTTTTTTTTAATTTATTGATTCCAGAGCTTGTAGAGGTTTGATAGAAGTTTTCTCATGTAGTGCTAGCAATCTGCTGCTTTGATGGGCTGGGTGGGACTTCCAGTTGGTTAGATCACAAGCATGCCCTGTGAGGAGGGTTTAACGCCAGCATTGTAATCCATATTTACTTATTCAAATGTTAATATAATCCCCACTGAACTTGAATGCAATAACCTCCTGTTATATTCACACTTTTTTGTTCCCTAACACAAAATCTCAAAATTTTAAAACTAGTGTATGAATTTTTTTTTTTTTTTACAGTTATATTTATTTTGTTGATGTAATGTATTCTAAATATTTTTTTTAAAGGCAAATTTTCTAATTAATGTGTTTTAATGAATCCAGGTATTAAAAAAAAATTAACAAGGAATTGTGTAATGTGTTGTTTATATTATAAACTCATTGAAAGTGGTAGTTTGATGCGAATGCTATACTTATCCCTACTCTATTACAAATATTTTAAACTTTTTTTTTTTGCACATTGACATTTTGGCTTGTGTCCAACACATTTTTTTCTTTACAACTCTGCTATATGGTTTTTTTTTAGTTGAGGATTGTTGTAAAACATTTCATTTTTTTGGTTCATTAGCGCACATTCAGTACTGAAAGATAGTAGGTGTGATCTTTATTTTTTTGAAAGCAATGTTCAAGTGAATGCATTGATTATTCCCACTACTTCCATTTCTTAATGGTTCTACCTGTGGTCGTGTTATGAGAGAGATTTCTCTGATGAGGTCAGGTGATACTTTACTGGCAGTGGCTGTTGTAGCAATGCATATGGGTCACAGATGTGCATTTGTGCATTAAAATCTACAGTGCACTAAAATACCAATATATTGAGTGCACTAAGGTACCTAATTTTTTGCGCACTTGGGTACTAATATATCAAGTGAATTAATGTATCAAAATAATGAATGCCTTACAGTACCAATATATTTAATGCATTAAAGTACAAATACATTGAGCGTACTGATGTAAAGATACACCTAGTGCACTAACACGCTCAGACACATAGTACATTAAAGTACCAGTGCACTAAAGTACAATTATTCCGAGAGCACTAAACTGAGTACATTGCTTACAACAGTGCACTCAATAGGGCTTGTAAGTCTACGGTCTCGAAATCTGCTAGCTGGCAAGTACGAGAACGACAAGTTGTGACCTACTTACAAGCCCTATTTTTTCATCACCCTACACTGGCCACCAGTGGCTGTGCTTCTCACACGAAGTTAAGTCAAAGACAGCAGAGTAACCCTCTATATCTAAATGTGATCTTTTATTCTTCATACTGGTTTCTATCTAGACTAGTTAATAATGCAACACAGGATATCCCATTGTAAGTCAGTTGGTCATGATTGTGTCTTCAAAGCAATGCAAATGTATTATTTTTTTTTTGGTGTGTAGATTGATTTATATTATTTATAATTCATTTTTATTTATTGATAAACTATTATTGATTTCACATTTATGTGCAGTGTTATTTAACTGTAGTGCATAGACTATAAAACTTTTTTTTTTAAAGCTTATTTTAATAGGGGACAAAATAAGACTATGACTGAAGGTCAGAGGTCACAATGATAAAAGTACCAGATTGATATCTAGATACGTTTGTGTAAAATCTGTTATGAGGTTTTAAAAAACAACAACCTTGATTTGTGCTAGTCCAAGCAGTAAGAAATATTATGGTGGGAAAATTTGTTCTTAGAGATAACTCTTTTTATTTTGCTAATGCTATCAACCAGAGTTAAGTCCCTTTGTGTCATTGTTTTGAGTCATACATTTTAAAATTTATTTTGCTAATGTTTGATTGATTTACGGTATTTTTAAATGTTAATTAACAAACTCTTGTTCTAATGCAAAAGAAAAGCCCATCTAAAATTTTGAATAAAGTATTGCCTGTAAAGATTTTTCTTTTTCTTTAGTTTCTTAATATGTGTCTGAAGGTGGATGTTAAAAATACGAAGGGAAGTAAGCACTACTTGTGTATGCTAACAGTCTGTAAATACAACATGGAAAGTGTTTTTTATCTCCCCTAACACGGAGATGTGTATGGTTATCTTCTTTTTGACAATAATTGGACGGGTCAGGAGTAGGAGACACAACTGATACAAGGGACACAACTTTATAAGCCACATCATTGTCGCAACTTTTGTTTTTATTTACATTTTATTGGACGGAGTTTTGAAACGTAATTGTGGTTAATTTACAACAGCGCATTGGTTTTCACTTACAACGAATTCTAACTAAGTGTTTAAAACATTCGCTTGAAATCAATCAAATAGTTTTTACACTGAACCAAGGTTAAGCTAGTTTGAGATAGCTCTCTTAGAGTCATCTCCCCTTAGAATTTTTTCTTAGTTTTTTTTTTTTTTTTATTAATCCGGGATCAAGATAGCCACTATTATGGTGAACACAATGTTCTAAATATAGAATATTTTTTTTTTAGATGACGTAGATCCAGATCTGTGGTTCAGAGTCAGACACAGAATCTGTGAACAAGCTTTTATAAATTTCTTGTTTCTAAAATTGTGTAGTAGGGGGTGTGATAGGTTGACATTTCTTTTATTAGGATGCTGCAAAAGGTCACGGTGTGTAGACTGCTACTGCTGCACTAGTCTGGAAAAGGGAAAAACAAAAAACAATAACAATAACACAATATTTGAATAAATAAAAAATAAAAATGACATAGCCCTAGATTGTAAGCCTACGACATATTGCTGGTTTAATAATAATAAAAGAAAAATGTCTATATAGCCATTGCAGTGTTAGGAAAATAATCTAAAAGGCGGTCACACTACTAAATCTACCTCTATAGGTAACACTAAAAGGTAGTCACACTACTAAATCTACCTCTAAAGGTAAGTAGTCGCTCTACTAAATTTACCTCTAAAGGTAATACTAAAGGTAATCGTACTACTAAATCTACCTCTATAAAGAACACAAAATGGTAATCACACTAATAAATCTACGCTAAAGGTAACACAAAATGGTATTCACGTCACTTAATCTAGCACTTACTATCAAATCTTCAGCGGGCTGCTCTTGACTGTCCTCTTCTGCCTCTTTGATTGTATTGTCTGAAAAATAAAACAAGCTCTTAATAAATATAGATCTAGTTACTACGGCTCTTCATATCTGCATGTCTACCATAATACTATGACAACTCACGGGGGTTTCCGTTGTAACTGTATATATATATATATATATATATATATATATATATATATATATATATATATATATATATATATATGTATATATATATATATATATATATATATATATATATATATATATATATATATATATATATATATATATATACATAATTATATATATGTCTGTATTTATATATATGTATGTATGCATGTATGTATATATATATATATATGTATATATATATATATATATATATATATATATATATATATATATATATATATATATATATATATATATATATATATATATATATATATGCTTACAACCTATAATTAAATTAACGTCATTATTCTACAAGGGACAAAATGTTGATTGGCCAGTGATTAACACACGGCCAGCACAGCCTTTAAAATAAATTAGTCCCAGTATTTCCTGCACACTCAGCACGTACAGGTCAGGCTGACCTTTGTAAGTCGCGGGATTATTAATGCAGTTCACCATTAACCCTCCAGTAGTCAAAGAGTGACGCCATAGAGGGTTAATCCCCTCGGATCGATGTTCGCGATTGTTCTTGCTCGTGAAAAATCAATTGAATTCCATCAGTTTGTGTTTTGTTAGTTGTTTGTAAACTAACTATGCGTAGCAGCCTTAATTAACAAACATTATTGAACATTATGTGTTTTTAAAAAATCGATCGTGACGGATTAAAATGGTAATGATTATATAAAGTTAGACTTAATATGGCAGATTTTTTTTTAACACAAAACATTTCAGATTAAAGAGAAAGTAATGTTTAAAACACTGGTAGGTCAAACTATGAAGACCACTTCTCATATCACATTTATTGGGGATATATATAATTATATATATATATATATATATATATATATATATATATATATATATATATATATATATATATATATAGTGGTACCTCGAGAGTCGATTTTAGTTCTAACATTGCTCTATGTGTAAGTGCTATTATCTCAAAACATCTTAATGCCATGATCTCGTTCCAGCCACAAAATGCCACCCTAGCTATTTTTGTTACGTGTTGTTTTTTAATAAGGAAAGTGAATTTATACATATATTGTTTAATATCATAATAAAGGGTAATTCAAA